CCAATATCATCGCACCCACAGCACACACACCACTGCATCCAACCACACACTATCACTATCACTACCACCACACCCCTACGCAACATCATAACCACAACTCGACTCCGTCACAACGTGCGCGCGCGCACACACACACACACACCCCACCCCTTGCGAAGTTGCTGTGAACGGCAACCTCACATGCTGCCGTGTTCACAGCGTCGTGCGGCAACGTCGCGACGCTGCTGTTCACAGGGAGAGAGACGAGGGAGAGAGGGGGAGAAGGAAGGAGACAAAAGGGAGGAATGGAGGAATTGATAAAATTAGGGTTAATAATATTATGTTTAATATTAATTAAAATATAAAATTATTACCTGATTTTTGAAAATCATCTTTAAACACCTGATTTTTTGTAATTTCCTCAGTGTATGTCGATTCTTGTGGACCATTACCCTAAAGCCCTGTCCAGATATTTCATGGAGCTGTAACCTGCTGTGTGCATTCAATTGGGGTTTATCCACTAGGCCTATTAGCCGAAGCCCTTTTAATTTGGTGCTAACTAGTGGATATCTAGCCTCTCCTTGTTTAACTAGGGATATCTAAGAGATCTCATAGACTGTTCACCCAAAATATTTAATCGTTGTCAACTATTGTTCTAGTCACAAACCGAAGTTTAGTATCCACTTAAAATTTTGATAGTCTCTCAAGCAAACCGATCAAGCTCTGAAGGTGACTAGACACACCGTCATCTCGAAATTGAGTCTAAAAATAATTGTTAATAGTCAACTTATTTAAGTATGTACCATACCGTGAAATCCAAAGTTGTTCTCTTACAGAGTCAAAATACATTTCAAACAAGGAGGTTTATATTGGAAGAATGCATACGACAACCAAGGCATTTTCTATCAAAGGAAAAATTCCTCATACTAATTAATCTATAGAATCTTAAAAGCAGTGATGAAACATCGCATAATCATACAAAAGATAGAAATCACTGGCATATATTATAGGTTAAAGTTAAACTTGAGGTAATTGATCGTTCACCATTCTTGCAACCATAACTTATGAGTATTTAGGTCATTCCTTTTAAGTTTGATCAAAGAGCACGATGACCTTTTTGTCAAACCTAACGATGTGCCAACATGTTGATTCATTTCCCACATTAGCTCATCTAAAATTGTAAGGGAGGCCATTGAACTTTCAACGTACTTGCAACTAGGTCCCTGAATTCAATTTAGGTGCAATCATTTTATTGTACTGCAATATGTATAAAGCTCATCTGCCAGAAAAAATCTGACACGCGATTTGACAGATTCTCACATTGTTGTGGGACCCGCTGCAATAAAAAATTTCCAAAAAATTGTGGGCCCTCCCCCTGGTGTGAGTGATCTGTCAGGGTGCATGTTACTTTTTTTCTGGCATTGTAGCAGTCTCCATGCAATATACGAGTAATCGGGGCAATCCATTTAAGTTCAGTCGATGAGCCTACCGATATTAGTTGGTTTAAAAATTATTGATTTAGTGATTGAGTTGATTTAATTGAAAGATACCCAACATGAACCAAAAAATATAAACACAACACTGTATGGTCTTTTTGTAAAGTAGGCATTCCTTTTCACACCTCATTTGCTAATTATGTTTCCAAGGTTTTGGCATTCTGCAATAAATCTAACATTACACCATTAGATTGATCAATAGTGCAGTGAGAGCTAATACTAGGAGAAAAATCCACATATACATCCGCCATCAACCTATTAAAAAAAGGTTATTGCTTAGTAATAAAATAAAATAAAAAATTGAAAAATTTTATGAATAAGAACATCAAATATCTCGACTTTCTTGCTTATAAAAATTGTAAACTGGATTATTGTCTATCTATAGGGTTATAAAATTGATATTTATCCACAATGGCACAATGACATTACAATTGATCGAAAATCCATCTCCAATTGGGTGATTATAGAGAAGAAATGCTACATTTTTTTCTCCCACAATCGGAGTGAGCTAATTGCTCATAAATTAAATTATAGAGCTATTATTGCACAAAATTGAAGTTTAATGACCTAGTTGCAAGTATGGTGAAAGTTCATTGGCCTATTAATAGGTATGGAGAAAGTTTAGTGACTTCCAATGCAATTTTAGATGAGTTGACGTGAAAAAAATGACTAATCAAAACAGATTATCCGAATGCTCGTAAATTAAAGTAAAATGGTCATTGCAACAAATTGAATTTCATGGTAAAGTTCTATGACCTTTGGTACCATATCAAATTGTTTAGTTCTTGCATCTCAAATGCATTCTAATCTAATTGCTGTAGCATTACCATCAAGCTTACTTGTTAGAAAAAGATGATTACATATTTGACAGTGAATTTGGAATTTTCACTAAAGTTTCTAATTATTGTGACATACTATGCACCGCTCGTGCATTAGCTAGCAATATTTTACTTTTGATTTCTGTCTTACATTAATAATTAGCTTTATTTTCAATAACCCAACTGTGAACAACAAATTATGTAATGATTAATATTGACTAATTAGCGCAAAGTAGGAAGAATTTGGAACCAATTTTTTGCATATAATTGACAGAAGTATCTTTGTGCTTTCCAATATTTCCAACCAAGTTGGGATCTTTTTGACCCTTTTAACGTAGAAAAAACTAAGCACCTTACAGTATGTAGTTTGTACGATTCTATCTTTTCTATTATTATCCCATCAAGATCGCACAATTTCCCGCTATAATTTTTATTGAATTTTGTTAAACAGATGTACAAGTCTCTCGCCGAAAATGTTACCAAATTGTCTTATGAATTTCGAACTATTTAATCATTGACATCAAACTAGGTTAAACATTCTAGTCTAATTCATTAACTTAATCAAATTATCTAGAGAATATGTTAATAAAAAGGTCATTTTGTATGACCATATTCTTGGCCATTATTTTGGAAAAAAAAAAAAAAGAAGTTTTAAAAAGTGATTTTTTTTAATGTATGGTTAAAAAGTATGATTTTTTTTAAAAATTTACGTGTCGAATATTTTATTGTGTAAATGTGATTGAAAATAAGTATAAGAATTAAAAAGTTTTGAAATAATAATTGTCAAATGAGGCTTAATTTATCGGTATCCATGTCAAAACCTAGTAAACATGGTTACTAGAATGTGTTGGTTAAGCTTTATGGATTGCATTTAAGCAAATATGCATCATAATTTTCTCTCTTGATTGTAACTTTTAAGGTAATATATGTTAAGAATTGTGTTTCCATCTTAAAAGGTCAACCTTATTAAGAGGAGTAATCCAAACATTTATAAATTTGTTTATATTTACATTTTTATTCGATGTGAGATTCTATCCCTTAACATGTTTCCGCAAGATGGTGGCTCGTTTGAGCAGACCAACCTTGAAATCCGTATGCTCACTTTTGGAGTCTTAATCGGATCGAATTACTCGTTGGAGTTTAATGGACTCTGATATCATGTTAAGAATTGAGTTTCCATTTTAAAATTTCAACTTTATTAAGATGAGTAATTCAATCCATTATAAGTTGGTTTATATTTACATTTTTATTCAATATGAGATTCTATCCCTTAACAATATATATGTTTCCCTCCATTTGTAATCAAATACTGGTATATGATGCAGTGTGAAATGAAAAAAACTAGTTAATCTTGACTGTCATCCTTTTGAACTGTCCACGTACAGTGTATTAAGATCAAAGATTAAGTGCATTATGACCGACTAATTAATAATTTTTTCTATTAATTTCGGTGACCAGCTAACAACTAATGAAGTTATTGATAAGATTATGGAGAAAAGATAGATATAGAAAAAGGAGGCCACTTGCCACTTATGGGTCCATCCATGTTACTTTTGGATCATACAAACTCTACGTCAATCACTTAGGCATTTCAATGTATTTTGCTCTTATAATTGAAATGGGATTTACTTTTTACTGTTGTGAAAAGTAAGGTTCTCGCATAAAATAATAAATCTAAATTTAACTTTATTTGGTAAAAATATTCCAGCTTTTCCAGCATCGTTGCCACTAACCACCTTGTCGTCTCCTAATTCAAATTAGCAGAATTCCATTCTATCTTCATTTTCTGTGCAAAAAAGAGAGGATTTAGCCTCCGATGGACTTCAAATCGAAAAACGAGAATCGCACTACTTAAATTTTCAAATAGCTTTCAACTATCAACCGTCTAAGGTGTCGTGTCATTTTAAGTGTCAAATCTAAACCGTAAATGTGAAAATTAATGTTACGCACTACTTTTACGTGCGATTTTAACATTCAAATTGATTATTTTACATCACTTTTAAGGTTGGAGCTAGAATGAAAACACACAAAAAAGTCAGGAAATCTGTCTCTATTTTTACCTGTACAAAATCTACTAAGAAGAACACACACGTGTTGAGTGCGTTTTTGCGATTAGGTAAAATGATTAAATAGTACGAGTGACACATCAGGACATAAAATTACTTTCAGGTCCAAGATATTAATTGGAGGAAGAAAAGGCATAGGAAATTTTAATTTTAAGCACATAAAATGGGGGACAAAAGTAAAAACAATCATGTGGTGCCCCATAATATTTTCAAAAGCAAAACAACTAAAGCACTAAGTAAGAATCTTACTTCCACTCTTGTTGAATTATGGGAGGGAATGTCAGTTACTTTGGGGGAAAGCTCATAGGAGGAAAAAGAGAATTATGATGATTGTTTATTATAGATTTAGGTACGAAATCTTGATGGTGCAGTGAAAGCTTTAGCCTTCAATATTATTAGATTAGAAATCAAAAGACGAAAAAAAAAAGTTCCAATTATAGAGCGTATTTAATCATGAGGCCCTCCTTTAACCATTCCCTCCATTTTGCAAAATCTTGATATCCCAATACACATTTTACAGAAGGATAACTGGATCCCACCTTTGCCCCTCCATTAATTTCCAATGTTACACATTTGCTTTCGGGTTTTTCTTGATCATGCAAAAAAAGAAAAAAGATACATGCAACAACTTGACAAAGAAATTAAGTGTCGTTCCAGGCAGCAAAAGCTGGCAACTGAGCAATTGAAAGTGGAAGAGGCCTCAGTTGGGTATTAGTGTGCATCCAGGTATTAATGTAAGTCGAGGTAGAGGAGGTAGGCTTTGCAAAGAGGATGGAAGCACCTGTTTTATCTGGACTTGCTTCCCTTGAGCTGCTCAAGCTGGTAACCAAAGACGATGGGTTCGAGAAGTGCTGTGTTCCAGGATTGATAGGTTCATCCATAACCGACTGGTTTATGTTAGACGTGTCGATTCCAATCAGATCCTGCAGCCCAGCTGAGAAAGAAGGGTTTTGATAATTTCCTGAATGCATTGTTTTCTCATTCATTAATTCCAATGAAGGATCATTTTGTTGATGCCTGGGGGATTGATATAGCACCATTTTCCAATCAGGGACATTCTCCAGTAGAGAAAATCCCTCCGGTTTCTGTGCTACTGTGTTATATTCGATGGCCTCAGGCTGAGGCTCCCTCTCTTTATTTCGCCTTGCTAGCTCTGCAGTAGGCAGAGTACTGCTCGCAATAATTTTCTCTACGTCATATCTTGATATGTCAAAGTTTGTCACAGCATTTACGCCCCGGAACTTGATTGCAGCAATATCATAAGCTTCAGCTGCTTCCTCTTGAGTGCCTAGAGGAAAAAAACCATATACCCAAGCCTCATTTAGTACACAATATTACACCGTTGTAGCAGGCCTGATCTCTGCCCCCAGTAGGCATGATAAAAACTTCCTTACGTGTATGATTCTAATCACTAAGCAAAAAGTTTAATAAAAAATTTAGATAAAAATGACTTGTAGCTATCTTTATCATTTTGTCTCAAGGAGCAGCAGCCTTATAAAGGTTCATTCCCACTGGAAATCATATTCAGTCAAAGTTGTGTGTGAACAGCTTTATAAAAAAGCATGCATATGCAGACAACTTTAAAATAAGGATACTGCTATATGTACAAAATTTATATAATGAATTACGTAATAACACATCACATGCAAGTTTAACATACAATCAATTTTTTCATCCAATCTTCTCTTAACGTCATTTTCGGTAATCATTTGTGTACATTTTTCGTGTACAAGTAGCGAAATCCTTAAAATAAATGATGCAACACAAACTGAACCTCTAAGAAAGACAATAAAAATCCATAGATGAGAACTTACTAAAAGTTCCAAGATAGAGGTCCTTGTTCCCGGCGACCCGGCCAATCCGAGCTTGCCATCGGCCGTGCTGATGATGCCTGTAAGCGTACAACCCACCCAAGCTTTAATGTTATGCAACTCGAAATTCGTAGAAGGCTCTCTAATATTAAGAATAATAGAATATTATCTAGTACAAGGTATATTCGATTGAACCTCGTTACTCCTCTGTACAATGAAGCTCCCCTTGAAAATCCACTACTTTTCCTGGAAAACAAAAGCTGTAAATGAGATTCTGCTAGGAAACAAATCCGAATAGTCAGATTTGTAAGTTCCTTATTTTCAATTAATAAACCTTCTCAAGTGTGCTACGTATTCCTGTCTACTCATGTTCTTCATCCCCTCAAGTTCTTGCCTGTAGTTCTCCAACTGCACAATAGTAATATAACTGTAATTTTGTTTGATTAAAAAAAAACCGACCCAAGGTAAAAATAATACATACCGGGAAATTAATATGCGTTGAGGGTCCCCAGTACTTGAGGGCAGCAAGATCATATGCTCTTGCAGCCTTCTCTTCCATATCATAACCACCTAGAATGAGATAATCACAAGTTTTTACTTCATAAAATGCGCTTAATAGCTTTATACAGATTTAAAAACAATAAATAATCTTACCCAGATAAACTGAGATTTATTTGATTTGATGGAAACAGTACACGATCCAGAACAATAATGGAATATGTCAAGAAAAATCAAACCAAAAGTTAGACCATGAAATGGAGCCAAATATGCCAGTCAGAACCCATAATACATCCAAAACAACATTTATTGTCAAGGGTAACCATTATTCTCGTCTAACCTTGCCTCCCTTTTCTAGTCTGCCCCTCCTTCTTGCAACTGTTATCCCACAGATGAGCTTCATACCTACCGGTCCACCTATGTCTGAAAAAAATAGTCGATATCCCATCAAATCAAGGAGAAAACAGGCCAAAACACAACGAAAATTTTGTAAACAACCCAAAATGTTGAAAAATGGGCTGTAAACAGAACTAAAGATCTGGTCTAGCAAGAAAAACGTGCAATTCATGATACAGTGGAAAGTAGAGAAAGAGTGGACTAACCTAGTTACACCCCTATACTGAGAAGTTCTTTGACCAAATGTGTCAATAGATTTCCGATGAACAGTTTGCTTTTGTGCAACTTTTTCAGATCCCCTCTTCTTGGTTCCCAAGGCTATACAGTGAGTCTCAGTGGGTGAGATTTGCCTTGGAGCAGTGACACAACTAGACTGAGAATTAGGACTCATGGACAAACTCAAAGACTGCAAATCCCCATAGCCCATTGCACCCCCACCACCACAAGCATTAGAGCCTGAAGCACCCCTAACTTCAACCATACAACCATTTACCTGCTGCTCTAAGGGATGGTGATCCACCCATGTTTTCAGACATGGAATTTCATCTTCAGTTGTTGGAGGAACATGAGTGTTACAGTCTACAAATTGAGTTTCCTTAGGTTGTTCCTCATCTATTCTATGGTACATACCATTGCACTGTAGTTCAGAATAATACTGATGGTGTTGCTGCTGCCTAATGGACTCTTGGTTGTAGAATATGCTGTCTAGGCTTAAAGCCATCGTTTCTCTCTGACTCCCGTAGTCATGAGTAGCCATTGTTGCACCACCCAAGAAATCTTCCAGTTTAGGAGAGGAATTTGGTACCATAGCTACATGAAAGTCAAACATATTAAATCGTAAGTTAACAAAATGACTACAAATGGACGACATAATAAGAACCTAACCAACCTTGTGAGTGAGATCTAGAGAATGCTTCCATAATGCAAAGTGAACCATCAGATTTAAGAGGCATTACTGACAAAGGAGGGTGAAAACCACCCATTTCACCTCCTCCGTAACAGATTGTTGAAGTATTTAGGTGAAGAGGTGAAAGATAGAAGTTGCTTGATGGAACTGCAGTGGTAGGAGGAGCTTCAGTGTGATGATTGAACTGATGATGAGGATGAGGATCTGAAGCAGCAGAACCCTCCATATTCATGGGTGAGAGAGAAAAACCCAGCCAGTTACTGTTATTGCTGCCATCGCTATTATCATTCACAGACTTCATCTTCTACAGATTCAGAAAAAAAATTCTCTCCTGTCTTTTGTTGCCTGTTCTCAGGGCAAGTCAATCATTGAGAGCAAATAAAGCAATTATTTCTCTAATTTGATTCTTCATCTGAAAAACTTTAAAATCTTCTTTTGTAGGTTTGTTACAGAAATTTCATATCATATGAACAAGAAAAACATTGGCTAACAAGAAAACTCTTATCTCCCTTCAAGAGAACAAAACAGTTGCTTTTAAACAAAAAGAACGAATTTTCAGAAGCAGATGCTGGGAAGTGGGTAGCATTCCATGGGGATCTGTGTACATATCTAGGAAAGAGGAACCTTTTGATAATTTTTTTCTTGTCAAATTTCCTTGCCCAACCCTTGAAACCCTACCTTAAACCCAGAAGATGACATGAAGCCAATATCCCAAATGCACTTGCATTTATAGATAGTGTTATGTGGGGATTAAAATAAAATTAGATAAGGTAAGAAGAACCTGACCTGTTATTATCCAAATAACCAAGAATTTTAAGCCGATTAAAAATAGGGCAAAGCGCGTATTTTTTTTTGACTTTTTTCTTCTCTTTCTTTTTTTTTTAGTCTTTGTTTGACTTCCATTATTTTTAAAATATATTTATCTCTTATTTTCAATTATATATTTTTAATAAAATAATATTATATATAAATTCAAAATTATTTTCTTATTTTTAACAATATATTCTTCATCAAAATACTTTTTTGGCTAAGAATTCCAAAAAAGTTAATTATAAATACTAAAATTATTAGTAGATATATCTTAATTAAATTTTGTATAAGCACCTTACTTATAAGTTTAGTCAAAAATGGTACAATTTTTTGTTCTTTTGTGGGTTTTGTATTATTAAAATTATTATTAGATATTTCTTAATTAAGTTGCTTATAAGTATCTTATAAGCTTAGGCAAACAATTATTTTGTGAATCTAGTGGAGATGTAAAGAACCAATGGGAAAAGAGGGTAGTCAGGGATAATACAAGATTGCTTTTAATTTTTACAGTCACAGAGGCTTGGATAGATTTGACGGGCAGAGACATCTGCATATCCAGTCACTTCATGCAGTACAGCTTTTCTGTACAATATATCCAGCTGCATCTCTCCAGGTCTGAGAATTTTTTACTCTCTCTTTCTTTATACCAGCTAAATTCCAATTTTCAATCGGTTCCAATTCCCCCTGCAGAGATTAAAATTAAAATTTTAATAAAATTAATTATTATTTTTAATTCTTCCCATACATTAACGAATTCATGCATACTTAGATCTTATTTGGATTTAATTAAATTATCTTTGCAACTTGAAATTAAATATTAAGGGGGTTTGTTTTTTATTTGAGAATTGATTCTCAAATCAATTTTCATTTTTAACCACACATTTTTCAATAAAATAATATTTTACATTACATCAATAATTTTTTCTTTTTTTTCAGCCACACATTTTCCATTATATCACTATTTAAAAATCAATTTTTCCCCCAAAAATCCTTACCAAACAAGCACTAACTTTAACCACTATTCACAATTATTATCTATATATTATACACACATTTCATAAAATCCATTACTCCTTTTCATTATAATGAAACCAAACAAACACTTAGGAGAATGCCTTTTTTTTTTTTTTAAATAGCATTTTTAGAGAATTTATTTTTAATTGTGAGGATTTTTAAAATGGAGAATTTTTAGAGAATGTGAACAAGCAGGAGTAATATGGAGAATTAAGATATACACAACATTTGAGTTTTCTTGAGAATGTATGATAAAAAAAAAAAAAGAAGGAAGAAAAAAGTTATAGATCATATACAAAATTCTTTTATTGAGATAATGCGTTATTGAAAATAAATTTTAAAAATTTTTACGAAACAGGGCTAAATTTTCTTTCCTAAAAGTTTAAACTATAAAAAACGATTATTTTAAATCATTTATTAGACAAAAACTCTCCAAGAACTTACTTTTTCACAATAATTCGTAATGTGTATTAGTTTTGTGAATTTTTGGGAATATTTTCGAACACCCAATGAAAACTTGCCAGTGTCACCCTATACAATTTCCTATAAATTTCTCCCCGCACATATAACATTGTTCTAGTTTTGTTATTCTCTTTCCAAGTTCTCCCATTTCTTCCTTTTTCACTCCCAATTTCTATCATCTTCTTCTCCTTCAACAATTTAATTTTCTTTTCATACTTGAAATTAAATATCAACCTCTTTCTTACATAAATGTTAAACATATATTATGTTCAAAAAATATTTAAACCTAATATATCTTTTTGAAGAGCAAGTGCTCCAAAACTTATTGCTTTTTCTAAGGCTAATAATAGTGTTGTAGTCAACACCTCCTCACGACAAAAAGTGGGTGTGGGCCTCTATATGCTCCCAATATTCCAGAAATGATGAGAAAAGGGCCCTCTAAAATACCAACGCATTTGGTGAAACACGTTTTTTTTTATTCAACACCTATACAATAATTTACAATAAATCTAGTAAATGATCAAACGACTCCTTTATATAATTTATTACATGAAAACAATTGTATAGCACTATTCCAGAAAATAATAGGTTTGTATTTCTGTCGCTGAGAGTGATGTTCCACGGAGTCAAGAATCGCAGTTTTACTTAAGTCCCTTGATCATTTCTGTACTAAGAAGAAAGACATCCCGTGAAACAAGGGTTATACAATGTTTCCACTCGAATTTTAGTTTAGTTCCATATGCTTCGCTTCTTTACGATATTGTAGAGCATCTTGAAGATGTCGTTTTGTTCGCAATTAGCTTGCCTCTATTGCCATTTCAGTCCAGGTCCGACACTTGGTAAATTGTATTTCTATTTGTCTCCCACCAGCCCGTAGGCTTTGATGAAACTTTGGTTCACAAAAAAATATTGACATATTTTACATACTCATTTTCAACCACACATTTACACAATAAAATATTTTGCACGTAAATCTAAAATTTTTATCTACTTTTTAATCACACATTAAACATCATTTTATTTAAATAATGGTTGTCAAACTGGGGCACAGCAATGTGTATGTTAGTGGTGTTTCTATTCCTTCCAGGATTTCTTCAAGAGAAATGTCTTTTTCGGGTGGCCAAATATTATTATAATAAAAAACATTAGAAATATAAGAAAGTAAATAAAATAAAAACATGTATCCCTTTCTTTATTCGAAACAATTTTTTTCATGAATCTAGTAATCAAAGAATATATAAGAAGAGGCAGATGTTTGATGATCTACAAGCAATTATGATGGGTCTTTCTTTATTCGTGCGGGTATTGCATGCAGAAGTGGATTCATGGAGACAGATTTTCAAATGTAAATGATTTGGTTTGAATCTTTGATAGTAAGAAAAGCTTGAGTTTTGGGGGGAAGGAAATACTCTTTTGATTATATAGTAATGATGAGTGAATCCACCAAGCAACTCCCACACAAATAATGCCTTTCCCTGTCAGATTAAAATCATACATAGATGCCATGCCACGATAAAGGAGCAACTTCCACTTTTAATTAATATATATAGGAGCCTATTTATTTGTGTGTTGCATTTTCTTCCTTAACTTTGTCACAACGCATTTAATCATTAATCTTTCACTTTCGTTACTCTCATATTTCAAAAGTGGTCACTGCTACAATAGTAATAACAACGACAATGACAATAACAAAGAAGATAACCTAATTTTATTTGCCGAAGTTTGGTAATGGGTTAGTATGTTCTTGTAGCTAGGTTTACGGATTTCAAGTTAATATTAAGGATGGCAATGAGGTTGAATGCTTAGGCCCATGAACAATTTGGGTCAGATTTTAACCAATCTCGAGCTTGAGTTTGACCTAGCTAGCTGAGTTCAAGCTCGAATGGCTAGTCTGCAAGCTTCACAAGCCGACTTTTAAGCTAGCACACAAGGTATGATAACGAGGCAAGGCAAGACCGAGTTTGCCATTACCATCCCCACCCTTGTTAAAGATTTTTGGCAGGCGGAGTGGGAGCTGAAAAAATGTTGGGGAATTGAATTCAATTTCTTGATTTGTTCACGGGATCCTTGTTCAAAGAGTTTATTTGGAATCTAGAAAATTAAAGATTAAGAAAAATAACAACATAAAAATTTATGTGAAAAGCTCTCAAATCGGAGAACAATCACAAGTTTCCAAAGACACGGTCTTCCACTATATCAAAAATTTGTACACTTTTATTAAATCTATCACATATCCCAAATTTCCAAACATGCCCCAAAATCAGATCGGGTGAGAGTACAAAAGATCATCAAGTCTTGCATACTTGGGATAAATAAAATACTATATGACACAAAAGGATAGCCTTTTTATTTCTATTCGATGCAGAATCATAATAGTATAATTACCAATAACAATAATTAAAAAACCTTAATGAGAATTGAATTCTGGACTCAGCTTGTGCTTTTCATATGTATCACAATCAGGATTTGTTTGCAACACATGTAACAGTTTCAAAATCTGTCGTCGTAATGAAAAACAACACACATTGTTGGGTTACCGGTATCGATGGAGTCAGGCTTAAGCTATTGAATTGGACATTTAGAACACTTGATCATATTTGGCATTTTCCAGATTTATAGAAAAATCTCATCTTGTTGGCTACTTTTAATTCAAAAAGGTACAAGTTCATTGGTAAACGTGGAGGTGGAGTTTTGAGGGTTTGCAAAGGAGTCAGAGTTGTATAAGAGGGGCGAAGAAAGTCCCATTATATGTCTTATAAGGATGTGCAAAATCTATGAAAAATAGTCAGCAAAAGTTTAGTACCATGGTGGATATTCAATTTGGTACAGTACCATTGGGATTTGATTTGGGGTCTGTGTTAATGAATAAGCTCAATCGAGTTAAGAGAATATAGGTAATGCCGCATTGCCTCCATTACTGTGGTGCCATCGTATTCAATTGTTAGGGACATACACATTGGAGAAAGGTACAGAGAAGCTGATTTTTTTGTGCATGCTTTAAGTGTATTCGAAGGT